TCTTCTTGAAACACTGTAACCTCAAACTTTAGCTTCTTTCGCCCCCACCCCCCACGTAAACTTCTAACGCTCTGTCCAGAAAAATATATGTGGGAGGCATGGAGAATAAACAACCTGTATGCATCAAAATCTGCAAGTAAATAGAATGAACTCATTATTTATTGTAGTAACATGATGTTGGTGTTATGTATAGAATTTCTGAATGCTTGGTCTTGAGAAAACTGCAAACTAAGTCAGATACAGCACTGACCTAAAAATATACTGCAGTATATTTGGTAAGTACAAATGCTTTTCTAATTTCATTTACTTTTAACTTGCTGGTGGATCTTTTCGAAGTCTTGTGTGTGATAAAATCACCTTCCAAGGCATACTGTGGCCTACATCTGTGAATATAAAGCAGTAAGGAAATTGGAAGTATGACAAAATAACTTATATAAGTTTTAAAGTTATGCACTACTCCTTGACCTGCTCCAACTCCTTCATTTGTTGTTGTTTTCATTTTTATACAGATTTGTCTTGCCATTTCCCTTCTGTATTTCACCAGTTTTGTACCTGTAGTGAATTAGAAGGAAGACAAACATAAAGTCAATTCCAGTTGCTGCAATTCCCCAGATTTTAAAAGGGAAAGACATTTATTTAATTTGCTTTGCAGCCTATGAGCTCACGAGGTTCATTAATTTCTCAAGAAGTAAATAAGTTCCGGTGGTTTGCTCTCCAATTTATCACTTTTTGTCTGCTTCCATTTTAGCTGGTAATTCAGCCTGGGCCTCTTGCTTGAGCAAACTCTGTGAGAGAACACATCTGGGCCTTTTCAGCTCGGGGCAAAACTGTGCAGAAAACAGAGGGGTTTTTCTGGGTAGTTGCTCTTGTAATTGGCACCACATGGTCTCAGGAGCACAGGTAGCACACGAGCATGGGCTGTGTTTCACTGAGGGGGGACCAATACATGGGGTGGGTTTATTGGGAATGGATGTTACTGGTCTTGATGTTACTGGTCTTGCGTCTCCCACTGAGTGGCATGAGAAGTGCTCCTGGGCATGCCAGCCAGCCAGGCATTGTAGACATCAAGAGCAAACTATAGCCTACTTGTTTGCTCTGTTAGCAGAAGGGAAACACAATTAGGTGAGGAAGTTTCATTAATGAGGCTACTTTATTAGCAGCTTTTGGTGGGCTGGGGTGTGGAAATGTTAGATTTAGAAGATAATCAGCCTGCATTTTTATCTCTACTTAAAATAGTAGAATGGAAAATTATCTTATCTCCATAAACTGCTATTTTTCACATAGTAAATTATTTTACCACCCAAAGCAGATGCCACACAAAGAGTTGTGGTTGGGAGGCATGTAGTTATTTATCTCGGTCAAAATGTCTCAGTTAAAAAGCTATCAGTAGGAGATAATAATAATAAACACATATGGCATTTGGCTAGATGAATACAAGATTATACTAAATAGAACACATTTCTTAAAAGAATAATTGTAGCTAATTAGAAATCTCCAGTTATGCTTAGAGTTGTAAGAAAGTGAAAACAAATTTAATTATGCAAGGTCCCAGTTGTGGCAAAGGTGTTATAAAGAATATCTTTATGGGGACATTCAGTGTAACAAATTGGTTCATGTTATTATTAGTGTGCTCAGTTGCGCATTTTCTTTATATCAGTTTAAAGTTTAATGATGGTGCTTGTAGAGCTAATTACCAAGGATCTGCACAGCACTCGTTGGGATAGTCACCCATAAGCCTTACATTTTTGCAGTGCTAAGTTATCAATACCTCCAAAGTATCTTTGACTAAATTCTTTGTGTTCAGATATGTACAAACAGGCACCTAAAAGTGGAATATCTGCGATCGTGTCCACGGTTCCCCTGAAGCATAAACAGCAAGTGTTGTTCCTTCATTCCTGCATGCCAGCAGAGGATTGCTGGCCAACACCAGGATTTACTACACTGCACTGGGAGATTCTCAGTGAAGGGCTGTTATCTTGGGTGATAGGAATGTTCCAAAGGCTGGGAGCAGGGAAACGTGGGCAAGGAAGGCAAACAGTAGCCATACATGTTCCCTGACAACAAGAGTTGCGTAGGCGTGCTGAGAAGGAATGCTAACTCTTCATAGTAAAAATGAAAATCTTAATACACAGCAAGAATATCATGCATCTCCTGCCTGAGGAAAAGGATTTGGGCTGGGCAACCTAAATTGTGAGCCGAGGGCTTTTCCAGTAGCACTCGCTGTGTCCTGCCTGACCCGGGAAGTCATGGTCTCCCATGGTGAAAACAGATTTGAGGTACCAGTGTAGTCACGTAGGAGCACTGATCATGAGAAAAATGCTGTGACATTAGAAGGATGCGGGAAGATTTGATGCAAAAAAAGAACCCTGTTATTTTTGGAACTGATGGAGAAGTCAGGTATGGTTTCTGGATGAGGCTGTGCTGTCTAAACCATTTTCCCATTCTTTTCTGGCAGCTCTGTTCCCCACTGCAGCCTCTCTGGAGGTGATGCTAACAACATGGATAAATGAAGCTTTCAAATGCGTGCAAGTCTTCCCACTAGTTTTGTCAGGCCCTGTGAGGGCAAGTCTTTTCTTCTCTGTTACAGGAGCTTTTCTTTCCAAGAGCACGGTGTGATTCTCAGCCCTGAAGATTGCTTTCCTGCCAATAATGATCCCCCTAGGCCACCACCAGGCTGTTTTGCCTTTAACCCCTCCTGGCCTGAAACACTTGGACCCACTCTCTTCTTCCCCACCTACCTTGAAGATAATCACAAGGCAACCATCTCTCTTCCTACCACTCCTCCTCTGCTTTGCAGGATCACAATGAAGGGTTAGTCTTGGGAGCTGACTGTGGGACTGACCCTTGATTAATGGCAGGAGGGGGCTGGCAGGAACAACAGGCAGCACTGTGTGCCATGGCCAGGGAGGGGTTTATCCCACTCATCTGACACATGGCACTTAGCTCTTCTGCAGTGTTGCAGGTATGGGGCCAGGGCTGCAAGCCTTGGCTTTCAGTACCTCTGATCTCCAGGAGTGGCCTGTATTTCAAACATACCTTGAAAGAGAAAGGAGTGTATCTCAGCCTTGAATGTCATGTTCCTGGGCTTTACACTCAAGTATGTGGGGGGAGGCAAGTGAGAGAAAACCAGCAAAGCACAGCACGAGTATTTCTCCCAGCAGATCTGCAGGCATTGTTGGAAAAAAGGGGTTGTTCCTGCCACTGACAGGAACATGGGATCAGATGGGGTGGGATTCACATCTCACCACCTCAGAAACCTGTGATGGTTTCATCATCACAGCTGCAAACATCTGCAGCTGAACTGGGCACTCCAGGCTTCCCTTATTAGTTAATGGAGATGATTAGCTATTTTTAGGCATGACTCACCTGTCCTGTTTTAGCTCTCTATTTTAGTGCGTGATGAATTGTGTCATGTCCATTAACAATTCAGGAGAGAGTCTAATCCAAGTAGCTCATATGTGGACCTCTTAACTGATTTATTTGGATCAGTTCTACACCTGTCTGTGTAGGTTCTTAAAGCACTGGGTGTCTTCCAAGGCCGAAATGGAGTCAGGCAGTGAGAGAGACAGTGCAGAAAGCTCTTTTGCTGTCTTTGCCCAGATAGCAGCATCTTTTCAGGTGTGACTTTGGCAGCTGAACAGTTGAGTTGCTTGTGGTCATTTTGTGCTGTCAGAAGTATCACTGGTCCTTGTCTATAAGCAATATGGTCTCCATCTGTACAAGCTCCATCTAGCCAGAAGAAGAAAAGGAATTTTAGTTACCATCCCTCTCAAAAAGCTGCTGTTTTGTTGACAGATTCTTCCCTCTCCCTTGCCCTCTTCCTGCCCTCCTTTCCCTTGGCCCTCTTGATGCAGCCAGACCTGCCAATTCTCTGTAGCTCCTCCAAGGTTGCTGATCTTCCTTACCTTTTGCTGAAACTAAGCAGAGAGGCTCCCTGGCATAGAGGCAATAAAATCAGCTGCTACACCTCAAAAGTGCTCTACTGTGAGACCTGCAATGACAGGCCCCTACACATGACCCACACCCCTCTGCTCCTGCATGGTACAGAGAGCTTGCAGTGGGTTGGAAGAGGCAGCAGGAGGGAATACTGGGCATTGCTAAGCTGATGAAAACAGCAGGAATTCCCCAGTGGTGGCCCATGTGCAGGGACCAGGTGTAGGCAGCAAAGATGTCTGTAGGGATGAAGTACAAAAATCATGAAAGACCGCTTTGTCTTCCACACCATTTTTCTGCGGCTGACATGGGACCGTGGTGTTTTCCATGGGAATGGAATTCCTGTATAGCACATCTCTCAGCTTCTGGCTGCTCAGTGAACTGCACAAGCTCTTTGATGACACCACATGCCATGCACTGTGAGTGGTCTCTGGCTGCCCATACCCTGCCTGGCAAAGTACCAAAAAGCCCAGCTGTCCCAACAGTGAGGGCTCTCACAGTGGTGGTGTCCATTATGACACCCTCAGGGCAAGTTGGCCGTAGAGGTGGGTTATATGGAGACTGAAGAGTGAGGCATTTGTGATAAATTTGGGTGTCTTATGGAACTAGAATTGAACTTCTCATTTCCAAGCCTGAATATTGCTGCATCTCTTCCTTCCCTTGCTTTTTAATCTGAAGGATTTAGCTTCACCTTGTTTCATCCCTTATTACACCATATCATTAACAGTGGCCTAAAACTCTGCTGGATATTTATTTTAATCTCAGTTCTGACCTGAGTGTCCATACCAGCTGTCTAATGATGGTACAGTCATGGGCTCCAAGATCTGCCATCTCTAAGCTCAGTCTGAATCTAGTACCTGTTCTCAACTGGAGTATCTGTGTACCCCTACACATTTCCATTTGCTATCTTCCCAGCTAACACAGTGAATCCTGGCTGGACTGAGGACACTGAATAATGCTTTGTTCACCATTTGCATTTCATTTCCAGGCCATCATTCCAAGATAGATGAAGAACTTGGCCTGTGACGGATTGTAGAGGCTTTGAATAAGGGGTGAACATTGATCTTCATGGATAGGATTTCTTCTCTATAGAAGTGCAGATGTCCAAGGATGTGTAGGATGTAGAGAATCCACCTTTTGCAACTGATACTTTATAAGCAGGAGTTCAGAGTGTGTGTCCAGCTGTTATATCAGAACAGAGCAATGATGCAAGCTTCCTGTTCCACTGCAAGATAATCCTGTAGGATGTCTTTTAATATGGAATGCTGATATGTGTCATGTCCCAGGACTCTGAGTCCCAGTAATCTTTCTTGGTGTAAGGAGAAGGGAGCACACACAGCAGGTTCTAGCTATATCAGTTACTGTACATCTGAAATGTGTCCTGATACTAGAAGAATTTCTGTAAAGCATAAAATACATGAAATATAAGTCATTTGGCACACTTAGGAAGCTCTGTCCTACAATTCATTCCCCTTCTGCTTCTGTTGTTGCTAATGAAACAGCTGCTCTTTGGTTTCAGGCTTTAACCTATTTTTAGATTCCTTTTATGCTGTTGGCCCTTTGAAATGCATGAATTACTGTGAAAGAAAGCCAGTGTCATTGCTGTGAGGCAAGAGGAAGGCCTACAGGTGAAGTCATGTCTGATAATGAGATACTGTCTCACCTATTCATCTCCTCCCTTTTTTTATTTCTGTAAAGCAACCCAGTTCCCTTGGGCACAAGGTTGCAATACCTTTCTTGCTTTTATTTAAGCATTACAATATATCAGCCACAGCCCTTCATTAGCACAGCACCAGCAGATAACTCCCTTCTTTGGGGGACTTTTTTTTCTCATCTAGAGTTCTGTTCCCACTGCAGGAATGTGCTGGCCCACAGTGGAAGAGGAGGTGGAGGACCTTGGATTCCAGGGAGAGAAGCTGGAGAACAGTGCAGAAAGAAGGAAGCTGTGAAGGAAATCGGAGGCAAATGGAAGGTAGAATCTATTTATTGGATGACCATTAAACTCTATTTTGTGAACTGCTGGGTTCTCAGTGGGATGTAAGACTTTGCCATTGTGCAGCAGTGTTTCACTTAAAGGGGTGTGAGTGGGCAAATAAAGTAAATCATGAACCAAAGAGTCATTATCCCGATGACTGTGGTTGCCAAAGACACCAAATAAACAATCACTGAATTGATGTATTCTCTGATCTGACCAGTATGACCATAGATGTGACTTTAAATGTGATATAAATCCTTGCATTATTTCATGAGTTATATACCACCTAAATTAATTAGCTCAGCACTAAACTAGCTTAAGCAGCAGTTCCTCATGGGATTTGCAGTTTGTAGGCCCAGCTGTGTCTCAGCAGACACTTGTGAACATGCTGTGGCTAACTGAAGTGGGAAGAATCATACCTAGTGTCTTGGTTGGAGTGTTGACAACTTACTCATTTCTTTTAAAATCTGAGCCAGGCTCAGCACATTTTAGTTAATTTAAAAAAAAAAAAAAATATTTTTGTTCCCTGGTTTCTGTTTTCTCCTGAAAAATATTTCTGAACTGATCAAACAATTTTATTCTTTCAGACAGACCTTCATTCTCATTGCTGCAGCTGTTCCTGCCTTGAGGCAGTGAAAGGAACTCCTATTTGCTCTGCACCCCTGCACTGATACACAATTTCACTGGAACTGAGTCATCTCCGATGTATCTGCTAAACCCTGGCTGAAGACAAGATTATCTCAACACAGCAAGGTTTGGCTTTCTTTTTCATGGTTGAAAAATGTGTTTTGAATTCTGTGCTACAGAGAAGATCTAGCAACAAAATGTGTGTCTCTAAGCTGTAATGGCAGCTGCTATTGCAGCTTCATATGAGTTACATCCAACGAAGTTTGCACTCAGAGGAAATTATTGGTAATCTGTAACGCTCTTGATTTGCTGTTGGCTTTGCATAGGTTCCTACACTGATGAAAGTGCATTTTAAGTTGAATTTTTCAGGGCCTCTGTATTTAATATTACATAGATTGCAAATATCTGCCATGTTTTCCCCTGTTTAGAATACAACCATTTATGACACCTGTACGGTGTCTTGTGTTCTTATTTGCACTGTAGACAATGAAGTTTAGAAAGCATAGTTTGTTAAACAGAGCATGGTTAAGGAGTTAGATGGCTGAGAAAAAGCATCCTCCCTAAGATTATAAGTGTTAATTCCTATCTGTTTTTCCTGCCCTTACTCTCATTATTTTAAGAAAATATCAAGCATTTGCTTTCACATCATATTGCAGTTGAAAACACAGTGTTAAAATAGTGTTGGATGACCAGAAGGGGTGGCCTAATGAAGGTAATTGATGGCAGCAGCTGGAGAGATAGTGAACATGTCTGTGAGGTTTGAAATAAATAACAATGGTATAAAATAAGTTTTGTGATTTTTTTAATCATGCCTTTGACACTGTCCCCAGCACTAAATCTGCTTTATGCCTTTGTATAATGCTCAGCAGAGACTCTTGTTGTAAATGAATCACTGATTTGGTGACCTCAGCTGACACTCCAAAGAGTTGAGGACTGGTTCATCTCAGATGACCACAGGCTGAAATTTTGGGATAAATTTGACCTTCTATCTGTTAAATGGTGACCTCAAGTAAGCCCATGAGATAACTGATGACCTTGAATCACCCCAAGCTGAAATTTCAGGATAAAGTTGATCTCTAGTAGCCTCATGTGATAATTAGTGATCTTGGATGGCCATGAGCCAAAAGTTTGGGATACAGATCATCTCTAGTAACCCCATATGATAATTGGTGATCTCAGATGACCCCAAGCTGAAATTCTGGGGTAAAGTTGACCTCTAGTAAGCCCATCTATTAACTGACAACCTCAAGTAAATCCATGTGCTAATCAGTGACCTCGGATGACCACGAGCCGAAATTTTGGGGTAAAGGTGACCTCTAGTAACTCCATCTGTTAATTGGTGATCTCAAGCAACTCTGTGTGCTAATTGATGACCTCAGATGATGCCCATGTTCTAACTGATGACCTCTTCTGCCCCCAGACCCAATGCTGTTCATGCCACCATATTAACTCCTAGAGGTCAGTTCCAGATGCCTGAGCACCAAATCTACCTCTACGGGTCAGCTCAGGCCCATCCTATCCTGTATTTCTTTCTCAGAAGTCCCCTGAGATGTCCCCACGAGCCCACAGTGTCCCTTGAAGTGACCTGGGGACCAAACATGCTTCAGGACATCCACTGAGATCATCCTGATACCCAAAAAGACTTTTGGGCTCCCCCAGGGCTCAAGAATTGTCATCATCCACTTGCTTTCTTGTGATTATTTGAGGTCACTTAGGTACCAGTTATGTTCCTTGGGATGACCCAAGGTCAATTCCTGGGCTGCTCTCAGATGCTCTACAGCTCCAGTATCAGTTGAAAGGAGATGGACTGGCATGAAACCACTACAAAATTTGCATTTCATACTTGCTCTGAGTGCAGCTTTGAGGCAAGACCCTCTGAGAGGAGCACATGAAGAGCGAGAAGGGTGATCCCCATGCAGCTTCCCCTCTCCTTCCCCTGACAGAAAGCACAGTTTAAAAAAAAGGTAATGTCAAAAATAGAAAACAAGCAGCAGCCCTAATTTATTTCAGGAGATTAGGGGAAGAGTCAGCCTGTTTTCCTTAGAAAACTGTTATGAAGTAAAAAAAAACAAACCAAAACAAAAAGACCAAAACAGTGAGGAGATTGGATGGGAAAAAAGACGACAACACAAATTACTCCAAGAGAGGAGGAGGGAGACAGGGCTATATGAAAGAAAATCAGACAATGCAAAGTTCAAATGTGCAGTTCCAAATGCCCAGCACTAGCTGAAGATAAAAGACCTCTCCTTCTAGCTTTTCCCTCCTTCCTTTTCTGTGAGCTACTTCCTGCTGGAGCTCAGAGCATGGAAAGCATGGAGACAATGCCTTTGCTGAAGCCCAAGATGACCCAGCTTCTATCCAGGTACCAATACACATATGAAGATGCTTCCCCCTTGTGTTAACCGGTTGAAAAACCAGAATGAGACCATAAGCACCAGCAAACCCCCAGGAAGTCCCAGGAGCTGCCCTGCATGGCAAGGAGCTGGGGCAGCGCAGGGCAGGCACGGGGCAAGGCACCTTCCCACACCATCAACAAGCTCAAAGGAGGCACAACCATACTAAACACAGTAAACAGTGTTGCAGAACCCCTTTAGATGCCTCTTAAAGGATGAGTAAACCCATACCTTGTGCTGACCTGCAACAAAATCCAAGGCAAAATCCTGCTCCTTTCAAATCAGTGTCAAAACGCATAGTGACACTACTGCAACCAGTACATGACCATTTTCTAAAATGTCATCATCTTCCAGTGTCAGTCCCCATGCTGTGTTTACTAAGCTTGCTCATCCCTTCAGAAAAAAACTGTGTTCTGGTGCCACTCCATCAAAACCAGTGATCAGAGCAGAGCATCAGATAGTGTCCACAACTTCGAATCTGCCAGACACTTCTTCAGAATGCAATCTAGAGGAAAGCAAAATACCAGGCCCTCAGAAAAGCTCTGGGCAAACTAGGTCATACCAGTCATGTCGGTTTGATTGAAAATGGATTGTTTGTGCCTTTATTTAATAGTTTAGTTTCAGAGCAGACTGCTTTTCATTACCATTTTAAATAGACATTACCACCATAGTTAATAACTTTCATGGTATTTTTACCCTCCAGCAACTTTATTATTTATCTTTAAATTATAAATGTTCTGCTTTTTTTTCTTTCTTCTGAGAATTTGATAATAAAACACCCAGGAGAACCATACACTTGTGAAAGAAAAAAAGCAATGGAACTGAAACCAAACACCTACTTGGTCAGCAGGAGATCAGAAGTCCTGTTCGGCTCCTAGCAACCTGCCTGTCAGTCTGGAATATTGCTGTAAAATCTATGCAGTTATGCTGCCTTCACATGGATGCCTCCAGCTAGATGAAGTGTGTGTGTGTGTGTGTAATTTGAGCTGGGGGGGAATACCTGAAATACTGCACTCCCAGAACCCTTTCCAGCAGCACAAGTTACTTGTTGCTTGAATAACAAGCATCCACAACTAAATGTCACTTTGAATTGTCCCATTGACTCACTAACACCACACAATAAAATAGTCCTTTTCTTTCTGGGACTTAAGAGTGCTGCTCTGTCCGTGCCTGCACAGATGGACACCTATGTAAGCTGCAAACTGAATGAGAAAACAACGTTCCCTGCTGGTTTGCGTTTATGCAACAGAGAGAGCCAAGGAGCTTCTGTGAACTATCTACTTTGGTTAATTCTTCATCTTATAGAAATTTAATGTTTTATTAATTTTATAAATTTTATAAGTGTACTTAATTTTATAACATTTAATGTTTTGGGAATCCCAGCCACTCCTTTGGGAATCTGACCTGAATCTGTGTTGATATCTCAGCTTGCAGGAGCTGGGGCCTAAAATTAGTTACTCAGATAAAACCCTATAAAGTTGCAAGGCTGAAGGAAACAATCAATGGTGGAAGACACACGGAAAAGCAAATTCAGTGGGTTATTTTTAAGGAAGTTGTAGCTACTCAGATTGTGAAAGGAAGAGCATTTATTTAAGAAGCAGAGTGGAACTCTCTCCTATTTAAATGTATTGGTTGACTGAAGTGGGAATATTCAAAGCAGATTTTTCTCCCAGTAAGCAAGTACCAGCTGCTGCAACAGAAAGATGTGCAGGAGAGTGAATCCAGCTTGTTCCCTCCCTTGCTATGGCCTTGCCGTGCTCTCAGAGCACCTCAAAGGCTGCCCTAGGCTCTACTGTTTGGTAAAAGATCCCAAAGGATGAGAATTGATGATGACAACGCTGGTAACATAGACATGTCCCCTCCTGCCTTGATATGACTTCAGGGGAATTTTCTTAGTGATGTGGGATGCCTTTCAGATATATCAGGAATATTTTAATATGTGGAAAATTCAGTCATGCCATGGCATCTCCAACTCAAAAGTAGCTAGTTCTCCTTCCTTGCCACTTCTGCATCAATAAAACTACTATTGAACCTTTGTTGTTTATTCAAAGAGCAGCAAATCTTACTGGGAGCCAGGAATTACTAAATAATAGCAGGCTAAACAGAATCAGTGTGACTAAGTAAAAGGTCTAAATAAGATCTCAGATGGCTAAAAATACAAACATCAAAGAGAGAAGATTAGAAACAACTGAATGATCTCAAAACCAGTGAAGCATTGGTTTCAGAGCAGAAAAGCAAAAGCTTTCTGACAAAAAAAAAGCAGAATAAGTGCACAAAACTGTTTCCTACACAAAATGCTGGAAGCCCATTGACGGAGTAGTCAAACTTATGGAATCACTAGAAATTCAGTGCAAGCTAGAAAAATGTTCAGTGAAAGTCATCTAAGAATTCATGCCATTTCTAACTTCTGTTAGTGCTGGGTACTGTGGGACCTTGAGTTCTGAGCAAGATATAATTAGAAAGCAACACAAGCCTCAGAAGTTATTCCTATTTCTAAGGGCACTTTTAATTGGCAATATTCAAATACAAACTCCTCCAGATATGAGTAATGACACAGTCTTCAGCTCTCTCCTAAATTATTCCAGATTTCTCAGTGAAAGATTCTTTTTGTATGAGGTAGTTATCTCCATTTAAAATAATAAGAGAAACTTGGAGAGATTCTGAGCTAAACATTCTTGCGATTGGTTTGCAATGAAAGAAAGAGAAAAGCAGCTCAGTAAAGGAAGCAGCAACAGAAAGACTATTGGAAACCTTCAATGTGTTCAGAAGACTCTGAGCACTGATATATATGTATAAATAAATATATTTATATCTCCATAAACACCTCAGAAGAGAATGAAGAACCATTTTCTGGGTTGATGGTCTGGCTGCAGTAATGGGTTGTAGCCATGAGCAGAGAGCTGCTGTTTGTATCCCTCTCACATCTGAAACAGCACATTGTCCTGACCAAATATAATTTGTCAAGGATGTCACTAGTTTCTACACTTAATCAAAATATACCATTCTTTCATTAGTCACTTGCTTCAAAGGGATAATAAAACTTAAAATTCCTTATTTTCCAGAGACCTCTATGTTAAATAATTCTCAATATGACTCCTCAGGATGCAGTGACTTTGAGCAATGATTTTTTCTTATTGTGTATTTATGAAACACATTTATTTCCTGATGTAAATTAATAGTGGTGGATTGTAGTAAGCACAAAACCCATACATGTGTGTTATTATGAAACATGACATCAAAGCATTTATTGTATTAAGCTACAAAACACCCTGCAAGACACATTGAATGTAAGGTAAGGTAAGGAGGAGATAAAAAAGCCTCTCACCTGGTCAGCTCAGGAAGTTTAAGAACACTGAAATTTTGCAGGCTCATATCACCATTTCACAGAGAGCTGCTGCACAGCAAATGTGTGAGACAGGTAAGGCTGGGTTGTGATTCATACCCCATTGGAATTTAATAGATTGGTTGATGTTTTCTAACTATCACAGAATCATAGAATGATTTGGGTTGGAAGGGGCCTTGAAGATCATCTCGTGCCATGGGCAGGGGCACCTTCCACTATCCCAGGTTGCTCCAAGCCCCACCCAAGCTGGCCTTGAACACTTCCAGGGATGGAACATCCCCATCTTCTCTTGGCAACTTGTTCCAGTGCCTCACCACCCTCACCCTAATTGTCTGAAACAAATCTAAACAGCATGAACTACTGAAGGGCATTCAGCTATTTATGTTTCCTGTAGAAATCAAACCCCTGACAGCTTGAAATGAAGGTGCCCTTTGTGGATTTATTACTGAAGTTCTTACACTTTTGAAGCAGGCTATGAAATTCCTGTCGGAGGAAGGGGCGCTGACACTGCTGCTGGAGCCATCGGGGAAAGCTGAAGACCACAGTTCTACTGCTTTGCACTTTTTTCACCAAACAGGGTCATAAAGGACCAAAATGCAGTTCTTTTCCCTTAACTTGTTTTCCCTTTCACCATGGGATCAGGCACCTTCTGAACACTTTGTTCTAAGAAGGATCTCTCAAACAAACTGAAAACAGGCCAGTCACCTGCAGTGACTTCATGCTATCTTTTTGTGGTATAGGTAATACATCCCTCAAAAGGTGGGAAAAACTAGTATAGGATGAAAAAATGTACAGCCCTTGCATTAGGTTTTGGCAGCATTTTTAGGAAATCTCTGAAACTCTAAATAATAATTAAAAGAAAAGAAATGGTTTAAACATTTAGTTCATATAGACTTCCAATTGTGTGAGCCCCACACCCCTCTCTGTATGGGCAGGTGGGAGGTCACATCCAGCATGACTGACACAGCTCTGCCTGCCTTTTCACAGGAAGGCTTCAGAGCTCCAGGCAGCACAGGCTGGGGCTCTCCCGGTTTTCCCTTCCCCAAGGACTTTGCTCTGCTCTACCTTGTTAACTGCCATAAACAGCTCCTGCAGAAAGAATGGGAATTTGATTACAATGCATCAGGCAGGCCAAGGAACGTGAATCAGCATTGTCATCCTGCTGCAGCACAGCACCTCACAATGGAAACCACACGGGGAATCAGAGACGAGACAGTTCGGGCTCCAGGTTACGAGGATTCGTGAAATTTCAAGGAATTAAGCCTGAACTTTAGGTTTAATTAATTAGTCAGGTAATTATGACATGCAAATGTTGTTTTGCACTCCAGACCTAAGTATCTCCAAAATATCCAAAGCTGTTATTTTGCTATAACAAGTTGTATAACAACTTATACATTGTAAACATAGAGGATCACAAAATAATATGAGAAATAAGGACCTATAAAATAGGTGTTTATTCTCAGTATTCTTCTGAGCATAATGAGGTACAGTATTCTTATATCAAGGTCAGTTCTTTGATTCAGTGGTGCCAAGTGGCTCAGAAATGCTGCTAACTATGCACATTTATCAATAAAAATCAGCCATTTGTATTGAACCCTTTTTATAGTAGGCAGCCCTGGCAGCAAGCAAAAGGAGGTCAAAGTGAACAGGGGGGCAGTGATGCCTGTATTCATGGCCTCCACTCATTTCAGAGATCACCACATTTCCACTTCGTCGTGTTTAAAATAGAAATGAATTTCACAAATTAGACTGAAATCCATGAGCAATTAAAAAAAATAAATTGTGAGTCTAGCGCTGTTATCACTCAGTTAGAAAACTGGACTGAGTATCATTGCTTTGGTAACACAGCAAAAAATGGGCCCATAATTGACACTGGATAGATAGCTGGAAAGGAAAATAATGAAGTTGCCCAGGGTAAATTTGAAGAAGTGAAGTCTTTTAACTAAAGACAAAATAATTGGAAAGTTTTAGCTAAGAAATAATGCGTAAATGAACAGAACACTACCATAAAAAGGCTTGTGTAGGCTTAGATAAAAAATAGAGCAATTGAGACGAAGACAGCATTGGCAGTGATTAGAAAAGTGGAGACAGAAAATTAGAGAAAATGACAAAATGTTATGCATAGATGCCGCCTTCTTTAAAGTCAGCGTTTTCTCTGGAGTTGTTTGGAAAGTAAAGTAGGAGTTGGGAAAGTGGGTGAAGAAATGAGATCACACCACTGTACAGGCAGTCTTTGATGAACAGCAAATCACCCCTGGATTAGAGGTTTCCTGTGGTGCTGGGGTGCCACTGTTCTTTCTTCACCCATTTTTCTGCTGTGTTAAGGGTATGGAAATCTGGCAGAAAATAAACCCCCTTGTGTCCCAGCTGGTCCTTAGTGATCAGAGGGGATGGGTATGGCTGCGCTTAATTTCTGATTTTAGCCAATTCGGCACTGTCAGTCTGGTTGAGTTCAATAAAAACTGCACAACCACAGGTGCAGTTTACCAATCCAGTACTACAGCTCTGGCAGAGTTCAATAGGAACTTTCACAATCCAGATCCACAAATACTATGGTTTATTGAAGCAACAGGAAAGGAGATCCAGGACTGCTGGTGATAAATGCACTAACTTTCAGAGCATTACTATGTATTGTGACAGAAGTAACATGATGAAGATGCAGATATATATAAATACAAGAATTCACCAACACATTTGGAGGCACAGAGCTCACCTAAAGGCATCCCATCAGGGAAGGAGGAGAGACACAGCCCATGAACAGATCTTGAGCAAGCAGAAGTGTTTCCCCATCTCATTTTAATTCTTATTTTTCTTTTCTTCATCTGTCAGAACTGGGGCAGCAATGCAGGCACACGCCACGGTGTGCCCAAGACCTGTGCACGTGCATCACCAGCGT